CAGGCGGGGCAGCCATAAACTTGACATGTTTATTAATTAAACTATCACTTAAATAAAAAAAAGTGCATAGAAAATAAACATGTTTAAAAACTCCTTTTGTTTTTACAACTATGTACACGGGTTTTTACATTCAGGCTCTCGCGAGCGTTCAGCATTTCTCACGATTAAAGTATTTCCTTCGTCCCTGGCAGGGAGCTAACACTGATGCACTTGAGACGCGTTTCCTCCTGTTTTTGTTTTTTTGTTTTTAAAACCAGAATCTTGGAAGAACACAAGAAAAAAAAAAGAAATCAAAAGCTTCGTTATACATGATACGTTGTCAAGAAATGTATCTCTAGAACATAACCTTGCCGTTGTAGAGCTTTTATTTTACTTTTGAAACAATTATTCACCTACCTGTATTTACTAAAGAGACTGTTAAGTTTAATCAAAGAAACACCACAAGTATAGTTCTTGGTTGATAGACAAAGCTACAGTACCTTGTTAAAAAGATACCAGGAAAGCACAGAGCACATTTTTCCCTATATGCAGGTGGAACCCCAACATTCATAACCCAAAAAGAAAGAGAAAGGAAAAAGAAAAGAAGAAGCCCGAGTTGTACAAGTACTGACTGGTAACACTGACGGGCAGGAAGGGCCTCAAGCCGGGGAGCTCCGGGAGCCGTCTCCGCGCGCTGAGCTGCGGCCGGGAGCGCTCCCTCCGCCTGCAGTGCTGGGCACCGGAGCCGCGCGAGCCGCCCGCCCGGAAGTCCACGGCTCGATTCTTTCCCGCCTTTGTTAGCAACTGTAACACAATCCTTATCTATAGTGTTAAGAGAATTAAAAGCCATGGACCGATACTCAACTAGGCTTCATTACACGGTGCATTACTACATTAGTTCCTATATATATATCATATTTATAGTCATTAAAAAAAAAAAACTTGCAGGTGTGTTGAGTATGGACCAGTAGTATGGATTTGAATGGCATGATTCTGCACAAAGACCATCTCACTGAAGAACCTGGTATTGCTTTCAAATAAAAGAAAAATCCAAAGAAAAAAAAAAAAAAAAAAAAAAAAAAAA